CTGATGGCAGAGGGGCACAGGGAACTTCTGGGAGGATGGAAATGCTCTGTGTGGAGTTTGCTGCGTATAAATGACGCCTAATGACTCCTTTTAAAAGCATGATAATAATTTTATTTATTTATGTGCTTAGTAAATTCACATAGTATTTCTCCAAATACAGATTTAGTAATATGACAAAGTTTTAGTACTTTTTGCAAAGCAAGTCATTCTGGATAAATAAAAACATGACACATTTTTATGTACATGTTAAAATAACCAGATTTTAAAAGGTATATTTCACATTACTGTAGCTAATTTTATGTGGCTATGTATTTACTGAAAGTTTGTTATCAGAATCTGAGGATTTTTAAAATAGATTTATAAAAGAGTGAGACTTTTAATATCTGGGATTGAAGCAACCAAACATATATTATTGAATTTGGGGTTACGCCTCATCAAATAAAGTTAATGGTCTTGATCTTCAGTTTTATTTCACACTAAATAAAAATTGTTTCTTTAGGCAATTGTTCTTTGTTTTCGACTACACTTCACAAAAGATAATATTACAAATAATACAGCTGCTGCTACAGTACGACAGGTCGTGACTGTTGTGTTTGAGAGGATGGTGGCCGAGGATGAGCGACACAGAGGTAAAGTGGTGAACGCTCCTCCCCTCTGGGTGGGGGTCTCACATGCTTGGTGCCGTTTCATTAATTTTCAGCCTTTGCCTCAGAATACCTAAAAACTAGAATACTTTAAAAAACATATTTTAAAACCATTATTTTGTTAATAACGGCAATTTAAAAAATAAATCCCTCGCAATTTTATTATCCTAGGACAGTGGTCCTGAGCCCCTAGGTCACGGGGCTGCCGAGTGAGAGGTGAGCGGAGGGCGGGCAAGCAGGGGAGCCTCCCTGTGTCTACAACTGCTCCCCAGCGCTGGCATCACTGCCGGAGCTGCTGCTCTCGTCAGAGAGGCAGCGACATTAGAGTCTCAGCAGAGGGCTGGAACCTGCTGTAAACTGCATGCGAGGGACCCAGATTGCTGCTCCTCATGAAAATGTGATTTCTTTTCTTTTTTTTTTCTTTGAAACAAAGTCTCACTATGTCACCCTCAGTAGAGTGCTGTGGCGTCATAGCTCACAGTAACTCAAACTCTTGGGCTCTAGTGGTCCTCTTGTCTCAGCCTCCCTAGTAGTTGGGACTACTAGGCTCCCACCACAACACCTGGCTATGTTTTTTTTTAGAGATGGGGTCTTGGCACTTGCTCAGGCTGGTCTTGAACCTGTGAGCTCAGGCAATCCAGCTGTCCTTGGCCTCCCAGAGTGCTGGGATTACAGGCATGAACCACCATGCCTGGCCAAAAATCTGATTTGTGATGATCAGAGGTGAAGATGTAATGTGCTTGAATAATCCTGAAAGCACCCCCACTCCCAGTGCATTGAGAAGTTGCCTTCCATGAGACCAGGCCCTTGGAGCCTGCTGCCCTAAGGAGCAGACTCTTCATTTTCCATGTTGGTTTCTAATATATACATCACTTTATATTGAAGACGATTAATATTACATTTTAACCCAAATATTGCATCATATGTATTTTTAGCCAAATATTACATTCTAAGAATTAATCATTTTATTCTTCCATCTTTGTAATTGAAATTTTAATGGCTACTTTATATTTTGTAGCTATTCAGTAATTTGATGAACTCGCCTCCTGTTAGAACCTTATGTTGTTTTTGATATTTTAGAACTGTTTCGAGTGTCTTCATACATATATTTTTTCCATTATCCTTATTTCTTAAGGATAAATTTTCAAAAGTAGGCTTTCCTCAGGTGAATTTTTATCTGTGTCCATTAACATGTGTTAATGAGGCTCGGCGCCCATAGCACAGTGGTTACGGCGCCAGCCACATACACTGACTTTGCAACCTTTCCAACTCACAGCAACCTCAAACTAAGGCTGGGTTCGAACCTGGCCCTGGCTAACTAAACAACAATGACAACTGCAACAAAAAATAGCCAGGCGTGTGGCAGGCGCCTGTAGTCCCAGCTGCCTGGGAGACTGAGGCAAGAGAATCGCTTAAGCCCAAGAGTTTGAGGTTACTGTGAACTGTGATGCCATGGTACTCTACTGAGGGCAACATAGACTCTCTCAAAAACAAAAAACAAACAAAAACCCTACATGTTAATGAAGAATACTTATGTATAACATAAAGATTAATTTTTAGATGTTTTCATTGAATACTTTTATTATAATTAACATCTTTGTGTTTTTAAAACATTTTCTAAAAACTTAGAAACTGACATATTCTCTTTTATAATTTCTATAATTTCATAACTATAGAAATTATGCTTTTTTTCATTTGTGATTACTGTATGAAAACTAAATTTTTCTGCATGGTGTTTTGAAAAGATCACCAGGTCCTCTGGTTACAGGCAGTCTGTCTGCTTGATCTCATTCAGTTTTACTCATTCTTAACCTCTTGATTTTTTAGAATATTTTCACTAAGTTTGGTATACTGATTTTTCTTTATTTTTCTTTGGGGAAGAATGCAGGTAGAATTCTAGTAGTTTGAAATGTTAAAGAATTAATCTTACAGTGTACTACATTTGGTTAAGATACCCAAAGTCATATTATATAAAAACAGGGCAGTTCTCCAGTTCGAATGTTGTATATATTTACAGTGTAATTCGCAGTGTAATTCCTGGACTGGTAGTTTTCAGCTGTTTGTCTCTAAATGCTAATATGTCATTGAATACTTTTCTTTTTTTTTTTTTTTTTTTTTGAGACAGAGTCTCACTTTGTCGCCCTGGGTAGAGTGCTGTGGCGTCACAGCTCATAGCAACCTCAAACTCTTGGGCTTGAGCAGTTCTCTTGCCTCAGCCTCCCAAGTAGCTGGGACTACAGGTGCCTGCTGCAACACCCAGCTGTTTTTTGTTGCAGTTGTCATTATTTTAGCTGGAACCCACCAGTCTCCGTGTATGTGGCTAGTGCCCTACCCACTGAGTACGGGCACCACCTGAATACTTTCTAATAAGGTAGAAATACCTAAACCTCTTTCTTTTCAAGTGGTCATTAATTCAACATTTACTCAAAACAAGCTGCCAGAACTTACAGAGAACATGGTCCTTTTAGATATCTTTTTTAGTAGTAAAAGATACCCTGAGGCTATGAGCACTGTAATCCCAGTGCTTAAAAGGCTGAGGAAGGCAGGGGCATCACTTGAGCCCAGGCATTCCAGATCAGCCTGGGCAACATGGGGAGACCCTGTCTCTACACAAAATAGGAAAAATTAGCTGGACTGGGTGCGTGCCTGCTGTCTCAGCTACTTGGGAGGATCACTTGAACCTAAGAGTTCAGCAGTAGGCTATGATTGCTCCACTCCACCCAGTCTGGGTGACAGAGGAAGCCCCTATCTCAAAAAAGTAAAAATAAAATAAATTAAAAAAAGAGAAATGCTAAGCTGGGAAACGCCGTCCAGGCTGAGTGCATGCCTGAAACTTACACAGTAATGGTGGCACATCAGTCAGACACTTAATTCTCTTAATGATGAGATGGTAGACGAATTAACCATTTGGTAAACTTTTATATGTTTGTTTGATATTTAAAGGTACATTTAAAGATCATGTGAATTTCAAAACCGTGAGATAAAAGGGGCTGGAGAATGGGAGACTGGGAAAATCAAATGTGTGGACAAAGATAGTAAGCATATTTTTTTTAGAGAGAGAGAGTCTCAGTCACTGGGGTAGAGTGCTATGATGTGATAATCACAGCAACCTCAAAGTCTTGGGCTCAAGCAATCCTCTTTCCTCAGCCTTCTGAGTAGCTGGGACTACAGGCGCCCGCCACAATGCCTGGCTATTTTTTCTGTTTTTAGTAGAGACGGGGTCCTGCTCTTGCTCAGGCTGGTCTTAAATTTCTGAGGTCAGGCAATCCACCCACCTCAGCCTCTCGGAGTCCTAGGAAAAGATAGTAAGTTTATTAAAGTGAAATGTAAGGTATTATAGAGTGATTTTTATGGCATTTTGTATAAAAATATGTTTCTGTATTTTTTTATTTTGGAGGCATAGTTCTGTAATTATAGGTAAGTTTATAATTATATAAATAAGTTTTTAAAATGTACCTTTTAAACAGATTATATGATTTATTGAAGGCCATTATGAACTCCTAAAACCATCCTATTTTGATTGCAGACATTATAGAACAACCAGTGCTGGTCCAAGGAAATAGTAACAGAAGGTCTGTCAGCACCCTCAGACCTTGTGCTAAGGATGCATATATGCTTTTTCAGGTATTTAGTTGATAAAAGTAACTTTTTTATAGAACATAGTTTGGGGTGAAAGTTTTGATTTTGGAACTTTGTCTGATTTAATCTTTTTAATATGAAATTTTAAAAAATATGTCAAAAGTAGTATTAAAGTAGTTATAATACATTAAAGAACAACTTCTACATTTATTACTAATTAACATAATAGAATGTTATGACTTCACTTTAAGGAAGTAAAATGAATTAAACCTACAACTAGAAAACAGGTGTATTGGGGTGACGAGTTATGAAATTTTTTTTAACAAGAAAAACTTAAGTAATAAACTTGTCTACATAATATAGCAAATAACCTGATTTTTATTTTACATGTCATGAATAAATCATTTTAATTAAAATTAAAGTAAGATTAATCTATACTGAGATTTTATCAATTTGGATTAAAAGGTTATTTTTTATTAAAAGTATGTTACATTAAACATTTATCTGTCTACTTGTCTCCTTTCTTAAGTATATTGTCAAGTTAAAATGTTTATTTTTGTAATATGTCAAGTGTACAATTTGTCAAAATTTGAATTACCAGTGCTTGGTTTCTAATGAGCGAAAAGAACTATTTATATGAGGAGAGAGGGTTTCTTTTTTAAGTTTTGTGAATTATGGATTTTTAAAAGCACACTTAATTCTAACACGTGAAATTGTTTGATTTGTTTTCCCAGGACCTGTGTCAGTTAGTTAATGCTGATGCCCCTTACTGGCTCGTGGGCATGACAGAAATGACTCGGACATTCGGCCTTGAGTTACTTGAGTCGGTCCTGAATGATTTTCCACAAGTCTTTTTACAAGTAAGCCATTTATTGTATCTTGTGACAAAATTAATCTTTAATTTTCTTTACAGATTGTTTTTAAGACAGTATCATGCATTTTCCCCTCACGTTAATCATAAGATACAAGAATTACAGCCTCAGACTTCAGACATGTGTGTATATCAGTTTAGAGTTATCTCACTTCTTTTAGTGCCCAGCCCTTTAAAAGTGTTAACAGTGGAAGGGCTCCCTAGAGACTGTTGAGTCAGACGTTCCCAGCCTATGAGTCTATGAAGCAAAGGTGGTGTGTGAACTATTTTTGTAGTATTTAAAAGCTTAAAGAAATTACTGATTTTTACTTGTTTACATACAGCTTTGTGTTTTTAGATAACTTAAATCAAAAAAAGTAAATATCAAAATTGCTTCAGTGATTTCCACAGGATTCTTTAGATACTAGCAGATCTTGAACTGTAACTTTGGTCTGTTAAGTAGTCATCTAGCTCTTTGCCTACTTTGCTGCCTTCCTGGGTGGTCCGTTTTGCTGTTGGCTTTCACCTACAGAATGAGTGAATCAGATACCACAATCGCATAAGACCTTTTAGCTCAGGATTTGGAACTGAAATTCTTCTTTTTTTTTTTTTAATTGTTGGGTACCCAGTGAATATTGAGGGTACAAAGAACCAGGCTACATTGATTCCATTTGTTAGGTAAAGTCCCTCTTATGATTGTGTCCCGCCACCAACAGGTGTGTCACACACTGTGAAATTATTCTGAAATGGTTCATATTTTTGGCTTGGACTAGGCCATTGCTAAATGCTTTTGGTGATAACCAACAGTAGTCACTAACAAGTCCCTTTCTTATACTAGGAGTATTTAGATATGCTGAATAAAATTAACTAAAGTTTATAATTATAGAAATAAGTTTTAAAATGTACTTTTTAAACAGAGTATGATTATTATATATAAAGGCCATTATGAACTCCTAAAACCATCCTATTTTGATTGCAGATATTATAGAACAACCAGTGCTGATCCAGGGAAATAGTAACAGAAGGTCTTGTATGAAATGGTAGTCACAATAGCTACCGCTTTTTGACTGCCTTCTGTAAACTATGTGTGAAATTCCTTATATATTATTCTTGCTTTAATATTTCCAAATGCCTAAGAAGTTCTAGTTAGTCCCATTTTACACATTAAAAAACTCTGACTTGGCCAAGGGTTAAGTAGTTTGTCCACGGTTTTGTGGGCTGTAAGCGGTGGAGTTGCGATTTGAACTCACGCTGATCCAGATCCTAAATCAGTCCCTCCT